TAACGCTCCTGGATGAGAGCAGCTTCCTTCCCGGCTCCCCTCCAGCCTGCTTCTCCAAAGCTGCCTTTCCCAACACTGGTGGAAGAGGAAGCTTATTCTCTGTTTAGAGGTTTTGGAGGTAGAGGAATGCTCAATTACAACCAAGATTCTGATGGGAAGTAATTTCATTCCCAAAGGAAAAAATATCATGAAGATCACCAATAAAAATCTAGCACTAAATTTGCATGCTTATGCAATGCATTTAAAATATGACAGTATGCTCCCGTGGAGACACACTTTCTTTCCTTACTTATCCCTTGACACTGAACATGACAATCCAGGCTCTTGCTCTTCCGAACACTCAACACCTGAATATGCTGCAAGGAGGCTGAGCCAGCAATGCTCTCCTCTTCACTGCCTCTCCACCTTTGGTGTGTGTCACTGACTGAACACATGGTCTTTCTTTGAGGGGGACAAGACAAGGGAAAAAAGCAAACAATGGGAATCCTACAGTAAAAACGGCCAGCACATTTTTATTTCATCTTCTGACACCAGAGCAATGACTGACTCGAAGAGCTCCATTTTCTTTTTCTCATAGTTAACGGGATACCAGAAGGAAGGCTGAACTCGCTGCCAAAGAAGAAAAAGGGGAAAAAAATAAAACCACATGAAGCCCACAGATGAGAACAAGGCTATCAGTTACTGGTTTACAAGGATTATCTCCCCGATTAGCCGCATGGTAACAGGCTGTACCGGGCATCGCAGGGCAGTCCTTTGCCAGCCAACCACTCCATGCGAATGCAGCAGTGAGAACAAACGCACTGCAAGATTATCAAGTCAGAGACATGCCTGACAGAGTCGCCCCGGCTACTTCTAACAAGGTCCAGATCTCATGCATAACATGGAGGGTCCTTGGGAACAAAACACAGAACAAAAGTGTTATTGAGAACAAGTGCACAGGGTGGGAGGGGCCGGGGGAGGGGACACGGAGGGTGGGAATCAGCCATGTGGCCCTCTCCATGCATTTAAAACTTTCCCATCATGAAAAAGTCCAGGCAATCCCACTACAGAGCTATTAAAGCAAGGAAAACACACACAAAACCAAGCGGAAACATTTATTCATAACCTTTCTCTCCTCTTCCAAAAAAAAAAAAGAACAAGAAAACTAGGAAAAGACACAGCATAGACAAGGAAGAGGGCAGAGGCTGCATAAGGCAGAACCACAGCCGCCTGTGGCGCCCTCCCTCCCAGCAGGACAAGGGTTAAGCGCTGCCTTCTGTATCCAAGCAGTAGTAGGCAAATGGCAAGGCTGTGACGTCAAGAGATCTGGAAAAATTTTCCAGTGAATGCCCCTAAGAGGTGCAAGAGTTGGTCAGTCAGCCAGAGCTCCCAGCTTGCTTCAGATTCTTCCCCATTTCACTACCCTCGCAATCCCACCTTGAATTCCTTAGCTCAATCATATCTGCCTCTTCTGACTGCTCATCCCTGCTTCCAGATCCCCCCCCGCCCCCCCCCTTCCGACATAGAGCAAAGTATGTGCCCCAGGTTACAATTTAAAATACAAATAGAGCCACTCAGAGGGCACACTGATCCAACTCATTCTGCTCACAGGACACTTCAAGAGAAGTGTGGAACTGTCCTCTTTCTGCTCCGAGATGTTACTTAGCAAAACCTGCTTAGTTACTGCTCTAAGGCCACTTGGTTAGAGGGGAGCATGTGGGCCCGGCAGGGTCTATGCCATGAGCTCACCCAGACACAGGTCATCAGGGGACTGCTAAAAAAAAAAAAAAAAAAAGGTTTGCTAAGCCCTGCCAACCAGCTGGGGTGCTGGGGTGGCACCGTGGGGTTAAGGGATACAGGTATTTTTCCCTTTTAAGCAATTTGCTTTTCTTTTTTAAAGAACAATAATAGAGGATTTTAGTTAGGGGGAAAAAACTGTATCCCTCAAAAAGTTACAGGCAGATGAAAAAAAAGGCACAGGACCAGTTCTACAAATAAAAACCCACTAATGCCTCCATTAACCCAGCTAAAAGGTGGAAAGCACAAGGTGATTTGCATGCTGTGATTTCTCCAGCAGGTGACAGGCTCGAGTCTCCTGCGTCCATCTTGGTGAAAATCTACCTATAAGCAAAACTGAGCCAAGGGCATCCTGCCCTCATCCCAAGGGCATCCATGTTGGGCCCGGAGCTGGAAAGGGGCATTTTCTCTGCACAAGACTGCAATTGCTGTCACTTTCCCTGCCTAACAGAGGCTCTGTCCTTTCTTATAGTGCAAGAAAAGAGCTAACCTTTTTGCAAAACAAAAATTAGACTTTTAGCCCAGCACCTGCACCTTGGGAAGGAAAGACAAGACGTGACTGTCTGCATTCACACATCAGTGTACTCACACCTTGCTGGGTGGATTATCAAGACACAAATATTCTCTCTCTCTCTCTCTCTCTCTC